TCAAGCATTTGCAGGGTGAAGATCCCTCTGACTGCCGTGAGGGGCTTGTTCTGGATTAGACCCTCGCACCGGGCCGAACTTCTGTACGGTCCTGGGGTTAGTTTAGGGTGGCCATCGTAGAGGACAGGCCGGTTGTCCGCTCTCCTCTGACAGCTCGATGTCCTCTGTTTTTCTCTTCGAGACGAACTTTCTCTTGTAGAGAAAAATAGAGGACGAACTTTCTCTTCGAGCAAAAAACAGAGGACGAACTTTCTCTGGTAGAGAAAAGCAAAGGATGGACTTCGAGAGAAAAAGAGAGGACATAAAGGGGTCTGGTTTTGTATCAATACAGGACAGAGGGCAACCGGGCTGGCCTCTATGACGGCCACCCCAGTTTTGTTAGATTTCTGATCGCTTCGACCAGTGGTCTCCAAACTTTTTTGATCGTGCACCCCTCTCAGTAAAAATTTGTGAGCACGCACCCCCCACGTATGTATATTTATATTCGCGCACCCCATCAGTAAAAAAATTTTGAGCGCGCATCCCCAATATATGTATCTTTATATAAATATACTTATAAATAGTTCTAATATTTTCTTCCCGCAGCCCAATGAATCGTCTTGCACACCCCCCACCTTGGAGACCACAGGCTTAGACTAACCTAAGTGTAATGTCTGTATGTGTCCACTTTAAAAATGCATCATAGAAAAATGAGGGCTGGAAGGGGCCTCAGGAGTCTAATCCAACCCCCTGCTCAAAGCAGGACCATGACCATCCTTACCCAAACCACCCCATCCAAGTGTTTGTCTTTAAAACCTCCAAGGGTGGAGAGACCACCACCTTTGGGGAACCTGCTGCAGTGTTTTGCTACCCTCCTAGTGAGAAAATTCTTCCTAATATCTATCCTAAACTTCCCTTGTAACAAACTTTAACAGTGGCTCAACAGACTTTAAAAATGGATTCTCCTTTAAAGGGGAAAAAATATGGGTAACCGCAGCTTTTCCCTTGCAGGCTGGCAGAGCGTCAGCCTGCGAGGGGCTCCCTGTGCCCCACAGACCCACCGCCTGCCCCACACACTGGGGGGGCTGGAGGCAGGGGGCAGTGGGTCGGGACTGGCCATCAATGTTTGCAAATGGACCTGGTTCAAAAAAGGTTGAGAACCACTGGTTTAGACATTGGGGTAAACACATGATAGCATCTGAGGTGCCATCCACACTGTTGCAGCTTGCACCGCGCCACTCATGCAGCATCAGATCCTGTCATGCCAAATTGCCGGTGCAGGGGGAGACCCGGGTTGCAACCCCAGGTTTCCCCTGCACGGGTAAGTAGCCAGCTCCTGTGGTTGGAAGGCCTGCAGCTGATGGGCCTCACAGCCGCAGTGCCAGCACTTGGTGCACCCCTGCAGCTGGTCGCCCCGTCAGCTGATGGGGCTCCCAGCCACAGAGAAACACTTGGCCATGCATCCAATTAATGGCGTAATAAGGAGGGCAAGGTTCTTACCCATTTTTGTGGAATAACTGTGGCTTATTCCTTGTTTTATCACACAGTTAACTGATTGAACTTGTGGCTGGGTCGCAGACGTGGCGAACTGCATAATCGTGTCTTAGGTGTAACGTGCAGATGGGGCCTTATGTTACTGCACACTTAGTGTGTGGAGCCTTTGGGGTGGTGCTGTGCGACGGCCAGTTGCAATGGGGCTGGGAAGTGGATAGAGGCCTCTGACAGGAACAAACTCAGCGTGGCGACTGAATTCAAATGGCTCGCTGCTGTTTTCTGAAAGTGCACTCACAGCAAAGGCCTCCTCAACTGTTACGCTTGAACTCCAGTCTGCTCTACACATGGTCACCCAGATGCATCTCCATAGGCAGCTGCATAATTATTGTCTCTGTGCAACTCAGAACACCCTGGCATCGAACAAACATATTTTTGACCGATTTTCTGTTTCAGTGAATAGGTGTAATGAGGAAGCATGCACTTCCTGTTATGTGCACTGTGTCCATTAAAAAAAAAAATCTCATCTGAATCTCGCTGGAGGTACATCTAGTGAAATACTCTGTTACAGCGCCCAGAACCAGATGCTTCACAGGCAAGTGTAGGGATCTCAGGGTAAACAGGTATCTCCTGAACCACGTACACATTTTATTGCTTCACTTTAGTAGCCGTAACATTGGCTTGGATTCTCTGATGTCCTGTACTGTTTATCTCATTCATTTATGTTAGTTGCTTCTATTCTCTTCTATGCTGACATTGCTCATGTCGCTAGAGGAGCTGAGCACCTTTTGGTAGCACACTAAGCAACATCCCTAACAGCTGTTTTACCATGAGGGTTTATTCTTTTTCTTTCTGGCATCCACTCCCAGGTGAGAAATGTGAGTACCAAATAGTGTTGTGCAGTTTTTGGTTTTAAGTTAGTTTATACCTTGCACTGGTGGTGTTTGTGTTAGTCCTACGCTCCTCTGGGAGTTTGTTCTACAGGGTCAGCCTGGCCCCTGAGAAAACGTTGTGCACACCAAAAGGAGGGTGAATCAGACAGTGTGGGACTGAGACCAAGTCCAAAAGCTAGTTTGCATAGGAGTGGCAGCACTGTGTCTAAAGGGAAAGGCACCCTTTGCACTCACGTCCTACTGGATCTAATTCAAGTTCTGACTAATAAAGGCCTCCCCAGGATAAGCCCAAATTAGCGGACAGACAGTCTGTCCTTCAGGATTATGAGACATACTATCCTTATGACATGCAAATCCTGCAGGTAGACAGGAGACAACAACATGGCAAATTAATTTGGCAGTCTGTGAAGCTCTGCTTTTTTTCCTCCCAGCTGTTGTTATACATGCATGCATTAGAAATACAGTAGGACTAGCAGGGTATTGGCGGTGAAGGAAAAAAGAAGGGGGACAAAGGAATTGATGACAAAAAAAGTGCTCTGGTTTCCACAGGAAAGACTATACACCAGTTTTCCTTACTTACAGACTTTGCTAGAAGCCTCTTCATATGGTGTAACCCATGTGATAGCTTATCAGCAGATTAAGTTTTGTGCCAACCGAGAGTATAAGTACCTTGACCTACATTGACATTCCAGTTGGGGGAAGTGGAGTTTGGCATTCTCAGCAGTTGCTTTGCTTAGACTCATGACATCTAACATCGACTGATAGCATTTTTTAAAGCAGTTTTAAAACAAACTAGCTGTTTCTAGCAACATGAACCTTGCTAGAAATTAATTTTTATTCTCTTTGGTAATAGATTCTTTGCTCTTTGGAAAGATTTTTTTGCCCTCGTAAAAATAAAGAACAGGAAAACTCTCACTGACTTTAATGGGAGTTCTGTCTGTGTAAAAAATACAAAACGTAGCCCTCTGCAGTGTTACACATTTTATATAATTCAGTTACAATCATTATCAATCTTTAAATCAGATCTAATTAATTAGTCCTCTGATCTCCATGGAGATTACGTAATTGACTCAGTTACATATCAGTTCATTTTTAATAAACTTTTTACTTATTGTTTTGTTGCAGGAGAAAAAGGACACCACATGTGTTGACCCTGGCAATTTGCTCCTTACCAACAGAAGATACAAGCATGTCATTTTTCCTTATTTAAATTGTGTGTTTAATTCTTTGCTTAGCCAGGATCTTATACAGAATAGTGTAGTGCATGTGACGGATACTTCTGGGCACTTATGTAGATACATACAGTTTAGAAACATAAAGAAAGGCGAATCTGTGGCTAGCTATGGAATGAACATCCCCATTCCACTTCCCCTCCCCATGAAATAAATTTGAACAGTTTTAAGGCCTAGATGAAAAACGAACTATTCCACAGCTTTGCTGTTGCATTTAGAGCCTCGATTAATACAATTTATAATATTATGCACTTCTTACATACTGTAAGTATGTATCCTTACAACATCCTTGTGAGAGAGGGAAGTGGTATTATTCCCACTTTACAGATGAGGAACAGAAAGACATGGCATATCTGCACTGCACATTCAGCCCAGGTGAGCTTGAGCATTCAGGTTAGGTGTCAGGTTAGGTTTTTGCAGCAAAACTCTTCTGGTGTTACTGAGTCCTCACTGTTCCTCCTCTGATTCATGTGCACCTTGGTACATATCCCAAGTGGAGATGCCC